AGGACGACTGCTTTGGGTTGATGGAAGACATGCTGCGGCCATGCCCAAAACCTTCACAGGATGCCACATCCAAGATGGTGGACGAAGAGGACGTTAAGGAGGAGCCAGCTGAGGGAAGGTATGTATGTCTGTTTTTTTGCCCTGTGTGTGAAATAAGAGGAGCTACTCTGTTCAGAGAGTGTTCTAATTATGACGAAACTTCACCCTGGACAGTGCTGGGTCAAGCCCCGCCCCCATGCACACCTGTGGGCCGCCAATCAACCGTCCCAACCAGTGGTTCTTCTACAGCTCAGTGGAGGAGGTGGATCAACTGATAGAGGCTCTGAACCCTCGAGGTCACAGAGAGAGCAGCCTGAAGGAGGCGCTGCTGCAGGAGAGAGACAGGCTGCAACAGGTGCTGCAGAATTGTGACAGGAACAAGTACAGGCACGCAGGTAAATACACAAGGATATACCTGTACGCACACAGGAAACACACAGCTAAATACATGGGTAACACACACAACTAATGCAGCTAAATACCTGTAACAGATACAGGAAACACTCACAAGATCACAGGTAACGGCCATAAACCCGCAGCTAAACACTGCTAACATACTGATATCACTGTGTCCAATGACACCTGTAAACAATCACTTGTTCTGTTTGTCCAGATAATCCAGAGTCGCCCCGATCCTTCCCAGAATGCACTGCTACGGCTGAGACTGTGATGGAAGTGAGACTGAGAGACCTGCTGCTGGACATCGAGGATCGAATCCACCAGGGAACTCTGGGATCTATGAAGGTACACACACCTGCCCGTGAACACACAAGCAGACACAGCTGGGAATCTCAGACTCACCTGTCTCTCCCTGTCTGAGCCCAGGTGATGGACAGACAGGTGTGGCGCTCAGCATTGGAAGCAGGAAACTACGAACTGCTCTCCTCAGACAGAGAGAACGGACTGGAGGCCATAGAGATGGACTCCGCCCACCTGAGAACCAGAGACAGGTACACAGCAGACATGTGGGGGAATGACATCAGATTTGTCTCTTCTCTTCTCTTTTTTTTTTTTTTTTTTTTTGGCAGCCAACAACAAAACATTGCGTTATCTTTTAGCCGGTGCTCTTGGTCTCACACTGAAACTGAGATATTTAAAGTTGAGCACAAATACACTGCTCAAAACATGAAGGTTAAATCAGTTATTCAAGTTGAAAACCTCTACTGATGTACGTTGTATAATTTGACATAACAGTCAGTGGAAACCAAAATCAACCCACGGAGGCTGGATTCAAAATCGGAGTGAATAACCTGAAACCACAGGCTCACCCAAGTTAAGTGAATTTCATCATGGCAACTCATAATGTGGCTCAGAAGTGTATATGGCCCTCACCTGCCAGTGTGCGCTCCCGACGACATCTGGGCATGCTCCTCATGAGTCGGCGGATGGTGTCCTGGGGGGGAGTCTCCTCCCAGTCCTGGGTCAGGGCATCACTGAGCTCCTGGACAGTCTGTGGTGATGCTTGGTGGCGTCGGATGCACCGATACAAAATAACTTTGAACTGTGCATAACACAAAACGGTGTTTGTGTCTCACCTGCATTGGATAACTGTGATGTCAGTGAAGTTTATTGGAGAGCAGCACTTCTTAGTATAGATCAGCTTCAGAAAGTAGCCAGGTGTCTTCACTTTACTGGGTTGTAGATTTTAATTGGATAAAATCATGATTTATCCAGTCCACAGTCAATAACTCTGACAGAAAGGAAACGGGTTTGTACAATTTTGTGCAAACTAGTACATTTATTAAAAGAAGCTGCCCAGGTGTTTCTCTCATCGTGTCCACCCCATGTATACCAGTGATGCTAGGCTAAACACACACACAAACTGCAGCCCCCACACTGGTCTCACAGGTGAACCGTCATCTCTGTGAAACCGACTGAACGTTATCACTTTCATGAAGGAGGATTTACTGCAGGATTGTTGGATCAAACTGACGTAGTCTTAGGTTCCTAATAAACTGGTTATATGCGTTTTTACAATGTGTATATACTCTGTCTGGGTGTGTCAGGCTGCAGGAGCTGAGGTCTGATGGCGTAGCAGCTTGTGGGACCAGCGGCTCTGGGACTCCACAGGTGGTCAGCAGCTCGGTACGAGTCCTGGCTCAGGCTCTCGCTCACATTGAACAAGGCATCGAGAGACGCTTCCTCAAAGCGCCACTGGGTGAGTCTCTCTGTAGGTCTGGAACAGGCTGGGTTATTCTGGGGGCTGTGTCAGCAGGGCAGACTTGATACCAATCAGATATGTCTGAATACTGCCTGCACTATAAACTGTAGGATTCCCTCTAGTAGTGACCATGATTCTGCACATCACCCTAATAGATAACAGGTCAGTCAACTCGTGTCATCTCTCTGCAGGTGACGAAGACACAAAGAAAGACCAGAAGATGAAGAAGAGCAAGAAGAAGGATGAGGACCAGGCCAGTGATGGTATGACTTCCTGTAACAGCAGAGACAGTAAAGACACACAGAAACACCACGTGGACTTCAGGCCTTAAAGTTCTCCAACATGGGAGTTTTTCGGCCATTTGGATCTTTCAGTTTATTAACTTCACATTTATAAGCTGTTGGATGTGGTGGTCCTGACTCTTGAAAAGGGTCGCGGTATGTGCACAGCTGTCATCGGCCTGTCCTGTAGTCTACAGTTGCAGTGTAGTGTTAGCATCTTATACCTCTGATGTGTAATATCTACAGTGTGTGCTTGTTGTTCATTATGAGCATATGAAAGTAATGTACCATACATTACCATCCAGTCATATTCATCAGCACTTCACGTTGCACATCATTGGTATCAGCTGTGGTAGATTATCCAGCTTAGGTTCAGCTAATATATACATAACCACTGAGCTATCCAGTCTGACACCACTGACCTTAGGTCAGCTTAGGGTCTGCTAAGTATATAATAATGTGATGTGAAAGTATAGCTGAGACATTACGTAACCCCCCTGGTACATTAAGAGCTGCAAAATGAGCTTGTGTATGTACATATATCACGTGGACTGTCTGTGTGTCAGATGGCAGTGACAGTGGTCGAGTCATGAAGACGGTATTGGAGCGATGGAGGGAGTCTCTGCAGTCCTGCTCCAGCCTGTCTCAGGTCAGAATCGTGTCATATGCATTGTTCACCACACACCTCCACATCCTGAAGGCTCGATTGTGTGCGAGTTTGTTCCACTCAAAGGTCAAACAATGGAAAACATCTGTAGACGTGATCTTGACATGGACTTTAAGCTGTTTTGTCCCCACTGTGTCAGTCCTGAAGACGCGTTGCTGATTCATGATAGTGCAGCAGGGTAACTGTGTGTGATTGGCTGATTTCAGCATCAGTCAGACGCTTCATTGAACATGTTGGAGATTAGAATGTAGATGTTATTCTGACAGAACAAACTGAAATACAGCAGATACTGATACTGTGTGTTTCTGGTGGAGTTAATATGCTCATGTGTGTGCAGGTGTTTGTCCACCTGTCCAGTCTGGAGCGCAGCGTCCTCTGGTCTCGCTCTGTCCTCAATGCACGCTGTCGCATCTGTAGACGCAAAGGAGATGCCGACAACATGCTGCTGTGCGACGGCTGTGACAGAGGACATCACACCCACTGTCTGAGGCCTCGCCTTAAGGTAACAAGTGTAAACATTATTTATTGGACATGCCTTGTGTTTATTTGTATAGCACATATTATACACAAAGGTAATTAAAGGGCTTTATGTTTGTGATAAAAAGAGCACATGCATTAAAACAGGATAGTAAAAGGTATTATTCTGTACCTAACGGTTAAAAGATGTCAGAAGATGACGTTTGACCACAGTTGTCTTCAGTCTTCCCCCCCAGATGAATCAGACAACAAAGGCTAATAACCGTGCATTTCATGCTTTGTCACATGACAAGAATATTAAGTATTTATGTCCCTGGTAGGCTAGTGGTTAAGGCGCAGTGCTCTCGCCGCTGCGGCCCGGGTTCGAATCGGGGTTGCATCAGGAAGGGCATCCGGCGTAAGACACGTGCCAAATGTCAACATGTGAGTTGACAGTGTGATGATTCACTGTGGCGACTCCTAAATGGGAAAAGCAGAAAGAACTTAGTGGTATTAATAATAGTATCATAACCAGCAATTTGCAGTACCAACATGCATATTATTCTGTTAATCTCAAGTAGTTTTCAAGGTGAAACAATAGAATTGGCTGCTCACATGTCAGTGATGTTGACTCTGCTCAAGAAGTGACTTCTACCCTCTGTCAGCATCATGTGATGCTAGAGATGAGTAGAAATAAAATGGGCTGTAGGACGACGGGTGTGCAGTACCAAACAATGGCCAGCAGGGGGATACAATATGCTACAGTACACAAACTGTTTGCTGGAAGGTTGAATCTGGTCTAGCAGCGTGCTAATGCTAAACACGTGTGTGTGTGTTGTGCTTTTCCTATGTGTTTGTCTCAGTTGGTCCCGGAGGGCGACTGGTTCTGTCCAGACTGTCGACCCAAACAGAGATCCAGCCGCCTTCCATCTCGTCAGCGTTCTTCTGTTGATGAAGAGGAGGATGAGGACGGTGAGGAGGAGGAGGAAGAGCAGGAGGAAGAATCTGAGGAGGAAGAGGAGGAGTCAGAAGAAGAGGAGGAAGAGGAGGAGGAGGAAGCAGTAGTGAGGTGAGTGGAAATACTCAGATCAGTCGGATCAGAAAGATTTGTGGTAAACAGCATCTGCTCTCTGAATATCTGTAGCACCAAGAAGAGCCAGGCCCCGCCCCCCAAAGGCAAGAACCTACAGACCACGCCCAGTG